TATAATATATAATATATATATATATATATATATATATATATATATATATATATATATATATATATATATATATATATATATATATATATATATATATTATTATACTGGTAGTATTAGTCCGTATGATATTTTAAGAGAGTTCCGGCAGCTCTGACGGAAGTGCGCTGCATGTGCGCGCATCCGCCGTCCAAATTGATCGGTAAACGAATCTTCGAATGCGAGCCGCTTCGCTATCAAATTCGTGTGTTAGAATTCGACGAACTGTGTCAAACCTATTCGGAACAAATTGAAACAATCGCCCTGGCATGCATACCTGTGTTACAGGTGAGTTAATATACCTTTCCTTCTTCCGTTTACTGATTGATCGATCTTGTCTTTAAAGAGTGAAATGAACTTTCAGTAGTGAGATAGGAATGAAGCTCTGATTTCTATTCCTGACATCCACTCCGAATTCACATCTTTTAACACATCGATTTTTTTTCCTATAGAATATCAGAATGACCGGTCTCAATCCAACATTTCCAGGCAACTGCAAAAGCGGATGGTGAAATGAAATTCATGGCTCCGGAAAGATTTCAAGGTCCGATCAAGAAGAACATCCGGTATGATTATGGTGACTTCCATCAACCGTAACATTATCTTCCTCGATCTCCGTATTACTACCTCACTGATTGGAGAATAAATATTCCGTATGTTTATCTATTCCTGCAAAGAATCCGGCAACAGCGGCGATATTAACCACTTAACATCACCTGGTTCGGGATACTTATTTTAGACGACATTTTTCCTTTTTTTTTTTTATTGAACCCCTAAACAGATGAATGGATAAAGCCTAATTAGGGAGGTAGAAAAAACTTGCTTAATTCACTGCCTCATCGAAGTTCACCTTTCCATTTATCGAGATTAATGCTTTTACACTGAGGCCATTTTCCCAGAAATTAAAACTTGTTTTTATGAATCAGATCAGAAATGAACAGAACCGGTTTGACGAATCGCACAGCATCATTCCGGAAAATGTTACTGAAGTCTTCAAAAACCATCACTATTAAAAACTGATTTAAATTGAATTGATCATAGGTTGACAAATCAAATCTTCAAGTAAGAGAAGCCAAGCCGTTGACAAATTAGGAAAGGGAAAAAACGAAATGGAAAGGTTAATTAGGAGATGAAAATCATTAAATTACGTGACAATAACAACATTGTATACATCTCGGAAATGTTTGTTTACAAAAATAACAATCAATAATTAACGGCTATTGCGCTCGTAATGACAGAGGAATAAAAGATTTCTTTAGTTGCTCACTCCATCGAAATCACATTTGCAAAATCAACAAAAAATATTCAAATTTAGTTTTTGTCACCCTTATCTAAGAAGAATTTTTACTAATTAAGGTGAGCTTTCCGAAGTATTAAGCGTCTTTTTTTCCAGCTCACAATTTTCGTCTTTGTCAATATCGCCCAATGCCCAAGGCTGCACTTCACCTTTGGCAAATAAACAGAATATGGTAGTACCGGCTAATAACACCCCGCCAGTAATCCAAAAAACTAACTGCCATTCTTGCTGCGAACCCTAAAATAAACGAAATGCCAATCAGTATTTTCACAAAAGCTTGATTTGAGAAATCAATAAAAAAAGCACTAATGCCATCTTTTTCATTAATCAACCGGTTTAAATATGCAAATTACCTTTTTTTTTTAGAATTTAATGAAAGGTAAAGTTAGTAAAAATTAATAAAATTAAAATTTAAGATAAAATTAAAATAATAAAATTAAAATTTAAGATAAAATTAAAACTTAAGGTAAAGTTAGTAAAAATTAATAAAATTAAAATTTAAGAACTAAATGTGGTAAAAATGCCAACGATATGTAACAAACAGAAGGAAGTTATAAAATTAAATAAAGGTTACCGTGGGAGTAAGTTGGCCAACCATTAGTGGTCCTATGATCCCAGCGATGCATGTTATCGTATTGCCGATACCTAGTAGAGGTCCAGCGAATGTTGGTGCAATATCGAGATAATTAACCACAAAACCGGCGTACTGTATTCCGGACAAACCAATACCAAGAGTAAGGAATGTAATCACTAGGGTCTCCTGACCGCAACTACAATGACCACTAGCTATCAGAAATGCAGCTTGACTTCCAAGCGCTGCAATATCAGCAGTTATATTTCGAACAGTAGTGATTTATCATGCATTTAGTGATTAGCTTTTCATTACTTCTCTATGTTTATTTCAAGCAGTTACGTATACACTGAATCTGATAGTCAATTGAAACCAGACCGCTACCTTCAAACATAATGT